GGGGCGTGGCTTAATGGTAGAGGAAAGTGGCTGTGATGATGTGCCTTCACCGCCCTTGGCTGTTTGCTTCTTTTTGGCTGTCCTGGATGACATCAAATGACCGTTGCAATTGAAACCTTTCTAATGAGCAGCTCCCCAGACTTGGAAACTCTTCAGATCTGTGTGCCAGGATAGCAGGGAGTGGGTAGAGGTTTACCCAACCTTCCTCCGGTTTGCAAATGTGAAAACCAAGGCACAGGATGACCCTGGCAAAAATAACTGTCATGTACCTTTTTTTTTTTTTTTTTTTTTTTTTTTTTTTTTTTTTTTGGTGTTTCTAGACAGGGTTTCTCTGTGGCTTTGGAGGCTGTCCTGGAACTAGCTCTTGTAGACCAGGCTGGGCTCGAACTCCCAGAGCTTCCCCTGCCTCTGCCTCCTGAGTGCTGGGACTAAAGGAGTGTGCCACCACCACCCGGCTGTCATGTACCTTTCTGATTCTAAGAATATCAAACCAACTTCCCTGTGTCTTCTAGGGGGTCCCACTGTCTTCATTTAGGCCATTTCACAGAATTCACAGCAAATTCCCCTCAGGGCTAGGGACATTTTCTCCTTCTCTCTTCTTCCCTTCCCTCTTTATTTGAGGCAGAGTGTCACTAAGTAGTCTAGGCTAGTCTTTTTTGTTGTTGTTTTTTCAAAACAGGGTTTCTCTGTAGCTCTGGAGCCTGTCCTGGAACTTGCTCTGCAAATCAGGCTGTGCTCTAACTCACAGAGATGTGCCTGCCTCTGCCTCCCCAGTGCTGGGATTAAAGGCATGTCTAGCCTAGTCTTGACCTCTGTAATCTAGCCTGGCCTTTAGTTCTAGAGTGTTGGATTACACATGTAAGGCACCAATTCTTCTTCTCAACTCCCATCCCTTTTCTAACACCCCCTCCTTTCCCTACTTTTCCTCTCCCCTTCTGAGAGAAGGCCACATTCTGTACCCCAGGCTAGTCTTAAAATTACTATGTAGCTCAGACTAGTCTTGAACTTACTGCACAGCCCAGGCTGACTTCACACTCATGATTGTCTTGCTGAGTGCTGACATTACAGGCATTTAATACCATGCCCACTCGATAGGTTCATTCTTCCAAGCCCGCCAGACCCTGATCTGGGACTGAGAGTGTATTTCTGAGCTTAATGGTGTTTAAGGGCTTTGGGAATTTGGAAAATATCCCTAAGGAGATTATTAATGTGAGTGGTTAGTGCCACAGATGGGGACAGAACCCAGTGTCCTGGTTTCCTGTGGCTCTGTCACCTCTAAGGATGTTCTGAGTTTCTTGGTTGGCACTGGGTCCTGTCAAAATGGAGCAAGGAGAGAGATGCTTTTGGGCATGCCAGCATGACTTTGGAGGCTGAGCAGGCTGGTGTGGCTATGAAAGCCAGGGGCTCCAAATGCTGTTTTGAGGTCTGAGGGTGGAGCTCAGTTAGCAGATTGCTTGACAAGCAGTCAGGAAGCCCTGGGTTCGATCCCTAGCACACCTTCCTTAGCAGCCCCGTGCCTCTCTGTTCTGCCACGATCACACCAGGCCACACTTGAATGGTCACAGTTCAAGAAGAGGACACAGGGCTGGAGAGATGGCTCAGTGGTTAAGAGCACCGACTGCTCTTCCAAAGGACCTGGGTTCAATCCCAGCACCTACATGGCAGATCACAACTGTCTGTAACTCTAAGATCTGACACCTTCACACAGACATACATACAGGCAATGCACATAAGGTAAAAAAAAAAAAAAAACAAAAGAATTTAAAAAAAAGAAGAGGACACAGTCTCCATAAGATTGCATTTATTGAAAAAAAGATTGCATTTATTGATTTATTTAGCAAAAAAATCACTATGTAGCCTTGGCTGGCCTGGAACTCGTTATATAGACCCACCAGGCCAGGCTGACCTCAAACTCAGGGAGATCTGCCACCTCTGCCTCCCAAGTGCTGGGGTTAAAGGTGTGCACCACCACTCCCAGCTAAAGTTTGAATTTTGTATTTATTGTGTGGTATGTATATATGGCCTGTGTATGTGAGTGAATGTAGGTATGTTTGTGTCACAGTGCAAGTGTGGAGGCCAGAGGCCAGCTTTCAGGAGTTGGTTCTCATCTCCCACCATGGGATCTGGGTTTTGAACTCAGGTCTTCACACAAAATTTCATTACGTAACCCTAGAATTTGCTAAGTAGACTAAGCTGGGCTTGAACACAAAGGTGTGTCTCTGCTGGGATTACAGGGATGCACCACCATGCCCATCTAGGATACAATCTGAATTACTTTTTCTACTGTGTATTTTAAGTATGTGTAGTGAAGGCCAGAGGACAACTGTCTCCCTCCACATTTACATGGGTTCTGGGGATTGAACTCAGTTAATTAGGCTTGTGTGGCAGGTGCTGTTTACCCTAGAATGCAGTCTTTGTCTACATGGTGGGAAATCCCACTCTGTAGGCCAGGCTGGTCTGGAACTCACGGAGATCTGTAATCTCTACCTCCCAAGTGCTGGGCTCAAAGGCTTGTCCCACCATGCCCAGCTAGAATGCATCTTGTTTCCGTTACTGAAAACTGACAGGTCCCAGAGCCTGGGCTCCAATCGCCTGGAGGACTCACTGGACAAATCTGACAGACATCCTAGGACTACCACAGCTGAGCTGTCTATTACCACTGACAGTTAGGGATGGGCCGAGCATGACGGGAGAGAAGCCTTCACTTCCATGTTCCTTCCAGTTGAGCAAAACAAACAGGCCCTGGCAGAGGAAGCGATGGGAGGAACTGATGCGTAATTAAGTCCTGTCTGGTGAAGACTGAGACAGACCCTAAGACTTATGTCAGTGACTGTTTCCCCAGGGGTCAGCAGAATGGAGTGCTGGCACCACACCAGCCACAACGAGGGCACCAAGTTCAAGCAGGAGGCAAGTAGAGTCTGTGGCAGGAGGGTTTGGAGTTCAGCTGCCACCCTGAGAGAGAAACCCTTGCTGGACCACAGGGAAGGCAGTAGAGCACATTGGCACATGGCCAAGGTAGGAGTCCAAGTTCAGAATGCATAGGGAGCCTATTTTGATTACCGCCCCTTCCCCCAGATAGGAGAAAACTGAAGCATTATCTATCATAGCAAAGAACCACACAAACACCCCTGACAAAAGAACATGGGAAGGGCTGGAGAGATGGCTCAGTCAGTAAAGGGCTTGGCACAGAAGCATGAGGATTCAAGATTCATATAAAAATTAAACCTTGCCGGGCGCATGCCTTTAATCCCAGCACTCAAAGGCAGAGGCAGGTCT